CAAACAGGTATTGATGTTATCTGGTTGTTTAAGGTAATCCGGCTGTAAAACAGGCTTGCCACTGTGAATAATGCAAGTATAACTCAGTCTAGATAAGCTTATTCATAAGTTTCTAGAGAGAAAACGTCTCCGATAAATTTCTTAAACCCCCAGTGAGTTCATTTCTCATCAGCGAACCCCATCCTGCTGAGTAGGCTTAGGGTGAATTTATGTAACTATTGGGGGTTTGGTAATTTGGATAAATTTCCAGCTTCCTTCAGGTGAGTTTCAGAAAACCTACGTCTAAAGATTTTTAACTTCTCCAGACAAGCACTTTCTGTTAGGGAATAAAACTTTTTGGACGAACAAGCTTAAACTGACTTTTAGTTTCAATGTTCATTCAAATTGTTGATGTATTTTGAGGGGCATGTCTCAAGTCTGTAGAAATATTGGAAAATTTGAGTAAAACGGTCACGAACCACAGACTTTATGAATTAACGTCATACCATGGACTAAGAAGAACAAAAAGACAAACATATGCAAGGCAGAAAATAGTTGGACGGAAGATATTTGGACATGCAATAGCTTGGCTACAGGAAGCAGAAGGAAGGCGAATGGGGTGAAATACTGCGTGATTGTGCGTCAGATATCTGGAAAAATAGTGTGGTGATCGCTTACAAGAGATGAGCTAATTACTTTATGTTAAATGTTTTGCTTTCAGGGTGCCGAAATATTTGATGCAATAGTTAATGAAACAAAGAAAGTGGTGACGTTTAGGGTGCTCGATAACTTGGTCTTCAGGCCAATAGTAGAACATTTTGCTATCCACATAGAGGACTTGATACCCTTGAAAATCCAACTGAGAGACACGGAAACAACATGATAGTCTTTATGTGGTCACAAATCCACGGGCAAATTATTAGCTGACGCATAATAGGAGGAGAGCAACTAAATTTCCAAGAGGCTCCTTCTAAATGTTTATATCTACAATACACATAGTTTATTGGAAAGGCTTTTTCCTCATTCTTTAACTTGTCGTTGGCACTACGGGAGAGTGTTTTTAATGACGGACATAAAACTACAACGACCATGGACATAAACTAGTGAACACTGAACCAAAGTGAGCTAGAATTTGACTTGTGTAAATTTTTGCTGATGGGTTTTATCCCGAGTACTCTCTGATGTGGAAAGCTATGGAGGAAATTTACCCAGATTCTTCCCGTGCTTATGGTGTGTTCAGTCTTCTTCTTCTGACCAGTATTCAGTTTGTTAGGGCGTTCCAATGAAAACGGAAGGTGCTGTTTCGTTTTTAAATATCCTTCTCTAACCGTCAACCACACTGTTCCTATTCAAACCTGAGGGCCTGACAGTAACTATGAGTAACGGAAAAGCGTCGGGTTTGAACATGTCCCGCAATGTCAACTCATTAGAGTAGTTGCCCCGTCTTCCTTCGCTACCTTTTCGATATTTCGTTCTGTTTTCTTCAAAAATAACGGCCAACCGAACAAAGACAAATAGATCATTGCATATCTTTAGAACAGTCTGGACGCAGTCCATCAGAGGTGAAAATAATACTAATGTTTAGAAGCCGTCTAAAAACGCTTATGTTCTGACCTTTACAATTTTTGACAGACGCCTCACGCGCTATCAGTAGGTAGATCCGAAAATGTGGTCCCTCTGCTGACTTTCAAATTCAAAACCTGTGGTTTGCTGCATAAGTCAATAACACCTAACGGCGACAGGAGTGACTTCGCAAACCATGAAAGGTCGTGCACTGTGGTATTGCCATGTACAATTTTTCCCCTAAGCTCTTTCTAATAAGGAACTAAGCCGTCTGGACCACCCAAGGTTCTTTCATGTGATCGGGGAGACTTTATTGCCCGTTCTTCCAGGTGCTCCTGATATATGATTGTTAAACCGAGATGCGAAAGTTCTCGGCAGCCTCTGCTACTGATTTTGAGTCAAAATGTTCTGGTAATATATGAAGGCGTAGAACTCTGTCCCAATTACTCTGCAACAAAACCGTTTCAGTGAAACGTTCGTGTCACTGTCAGCCGATAATCTGAAGCATGTATTCACGTGTGGTGGTCGGGCTTGAGTGCTACAACGATTAAGGGGGCTACACTGGTTGGAACTTCATTCCACGATATCCGACCACCTCAGTGTAACGGCATACATTACAGTTGAGGCATACGAGTAGCATGTAGCTTTCTTGAAGCCCTCTCTTCACGTCTAATGCGAGATGAAGTTTATTACGGAACTTGTGGGACTGCTTTGCGGCATTCCTTTACAATTGTGTGATGGTCAGTGAATGTCCAGAAAAGCTCAAGAAGACACGTGAGAATGTTCAGTTTCTTTAAAAAAACTATGTGCAAACGAGATGTTTAATTTCCTGTCCGATAGTTTGTATCTGCTTAGTTGGTTTACGCTAATACACGACTTCGCGTCAAAGCGTTTTCCTTTCTTAACCGAAAAAGCTAAGGAGGAGTAGTCATATCACAAGAAGCGAGATCCCGTTCTAAGGGTAATCGTTCTACTAGGCGGTCTGGGGATAAAGTTGTCGTTTCCTTTGCAATAGGGTTGTGATAGCAGTAAGCTGTTTCCACCAGGTGACCACCATGGCCAAATTCATGGAAGAAGCGATGCCACCTTCCTCTGAGGAAGAACGGGTTAGAAAAGGCCGGTCCCGAAACCGCACACCCTGATCGCCCGACTCTTGGGCTTGACCGCCGGCGCATTATTCAATACGATCGAAATGATTTTAAAACCAAAGAGTCTTGTGCTGCTCAAAAGGAATCTGATGCACACAGCCGCATCACGTGCGAGGCAGTAATGCCCTACTCTCCGAGCTCTCGAGTTAGGCAAAACTCCTCCAGCCGAGCAGGTAAAAATAGTGAGACATCGGCTCCAGGCAGGGTCCTCAAAGAATACCCCACTATCCGTTGCTCCTCAGGTCAGACTCTTGAGTTAGATGCTAGGGGCAGGGTTACCGGACAAACCTCTACATCCTTCCACTGCCTCATGCCTCGGACTTTTGAGTCAAAGGCTCAAGGTTAGCCCCCCAACCAAATTCTCTTCCTTGGCCTGGGTAACGGGGTGGCACTATTTGCCCGCACAGTTCTGTGTTCACCGGTGTCCCTCCCCAACTCATTCCCACCACATATTCAAACCTTTCTGGGTCATTCCATCGTCAGTTTTCTGACCGATGGGCCTTAAGAACCCCGTTGTCTATTAACACTAAACAAAATAACGCCTTTCTAAATCTACGAGATCCTTTCTACATAGGAGCTTTTTACGTCCGTGCTTTATGTCAAATTGGCAAATAAGCAAGGATCGCTGAAACATTACACTGCATGTATGCCGTATCTCCGAAACACGCATACATGATCCAAGCGTGGTTGTGCATCTCAGAACGCCAAGGACGTACCCAGGTCTTTCACATTTCTCCCTCAGTGTGATTAGTGATCCGGAAGTGAGTACACGTGGAACATATGGTGTGGAAGTTGCACTCTGCTTCAGAGCAGAACACATTTTGCTGGACTGGTTCCAAGTGAACGGTCATCTTTGCGCCATTCGGTTATCTTTAACTCAATCAAGTTCAACGCCTGTCAGCATAAAAAGCGGTCCCTGTTTGATTGTCAACTTATGCCTCAACGAACTGTAGCTCTGACGGTGGGAAGGATATATTTTATCGAGAATTATCCAAGCCCGTTCGTCAAGCAAGGAGCATAGGCATCGTGATGCTTGCGCGTGATATTAATGCACAACTCTGTCGTCTGAGTTCCCATGAAATCACATACGGGCGGTCGATTTGGAGTTGATGCTCGCCGCACATGCAAGTTCTCCAACTGTGCACTGATCACAAACCGTTTTTAGCTAGTACGAACTCTCAGCGTAAATCCTCACACTGCGTAACCTGGTGGCCACCAACTGCAAATCAAGCAAGAACCCAGTTAAATCACGTGGCCATCAGCTACAATTCAAGACTGTCTTTTTTCTGGAGAACATAACTAGATTTCAATGACGTCACCGTACTTGCAAGCCGTTTGGCCCTCATAAGTCAGAAAGAAGCGTGCCAATACATCATCGAAAAACTACCATGGCTCAACGGTATCGATCTGAGCTGGCCCAATAACTCTCCTTAATAAACCAATACTGATGTGGCAGTGAGCAGTTCGATGAAGCGTGGCAAAATGTGAAAGGAGCTATGTTAGTGGCGTTCAGAGCTGTCTGTTCGACTTATCTGATTCGACTCTAGACCATTTGGTGTCGCCGACATCACTATCCATGATTGATGCTAGGAAATCCATACAACAAGGCAACGAGTAAGATGGTGAGCACTAATTCCTCAGACAGCAAACAATGAAGAATCCAGGGAAAGACCGAGAGCTCTGGTGGACATCGAAAGCTTGGGAGATGAAGAAGGCCTTTGCTATGAGAAACAGCCATGCCTTATACCAACTGATACGATCGATCGGCCCTAGCAGAATAGCGGTCATTGAAATGATATGTGAAACGCAAGCCGTCCATGGGAACGATGGGCCAAACACTTCGAAGAACAGTTTAACTGGCCTTTTACATTCTGAAACGTGAGAATGCAATAGAACCGGACGATCTGTATCCAGTCCTCTTCGAAGAAAGCGGGGAATCCCTGGTGGCACATCTGACGAAGCTTCTTGGTGCCATATGAAACGAAGAGAAAGTGCTTGCAGAATGGTGCATGTCGATAGTTATTCCTATCTTCGGAAAGGGTGCGCAGACTCTATGCGAAAACCACTGTGGCATCAGTCTGTTATATATATATATATATATATATATATATATATAACCATTACGAAGATGACACAAAGATTTAGTACGGATGGATGGTTAATATAGCAGTTCGGAACACAAGGCCGGAATCCCGCTTGCTGCTCTCGATTCAGTGTCTCACGAGCCACCGTAAGGCGACGAAGCACAATTGACGCCAAGTCTCGTTACGACCGGGGTCAAGCTGATCCCCCTGTGGCTACCACACTCACCCCGCGCCCCTTTTTGAAAATGAGCACTATCACCGACTCTCCCAGGTGCCTGGAACAGACTACCTTTCCCAAACGCAAGCAAACAGATCAGGCAAGCGCTGACTGAGGACTTCAGCCCCATCTTTGAACAATGTGAATGGGAAGTCATCCAGACCAGAGGCTCGGTTGCGCTTAAGAGAACATATGCATTCATAGACCCCCCGGGGCCGTAGGCGGTTCCAAGTCATCTGTGGGCTCCAGATGGGTGCCGGTTGGTGGCCAAGACAACTGTTGTTCGAAGTATTCGGCCCATCGGTCGAGGCGTTCTTCTTTATTCGAGATGTTCACTCCATTCCGATCATTGTTGGGTTCGTTCACACGTGGTTTTCTGGGAGCGGTCGGACTGATCAACTGAAATAATCCTCGGGCATTATCGGCTTCCTGGGCCTCTTCCAGCTCTCTGGTTTTCTGTGTCCACCACATTTCACGCTCGACTTGTACGCACACCTTCACCTGACGTCTGAAATTCGTCACATCAAGTTATGTTCGGGGCCGGATGGGATATTTCCCCGAGATTTAAGAAGTGCCACTGTTCGGTCTGATTTCCAATGCCTGAGTGAGCCTGGTGGTGCCGTGCGGCGGGCGAAATTCCC